AGTACCAGGCGAAGTCAGGCTTTCCACCCAGGTGTCCCTGGCCCCAAAGTGGAGCTCTTGACACCACCAGAAGACGCGGCTGCCAGCAGATGGCTCTGGGGACCAGGAGTGCCCTGAATCCCTGAAGACTCCTCTCTGGGAGGCCTTGAAAGGCACGGGGTGCACAGGGCTGGGGCTCCCGGCCAGGAGTGCTCTCTCTTGGAGATCTGGCTACCGGCCCCTCCGTCCCCACCACAATGTCTTGTCCATGCGTCAGACCAGTGCCCCCGACTCTCCCCACCCTCACCCTCACCTCTGCCCCAGCCCTGCAGCTGCTGAAGTCCTGGTCTACTACACTTGACTTCAGAGTCTGCAGGCTGCTAAGTACCCTCTTCACGGAGACCCTGCACACCCAGCTCCCAGACGATCTCCCCCAGGGGTTAGACGTTTCCCACCCAGAAGACAACGTGCTTAGGAGGGCGGCACTGCTATGGACCCCGTGGGAAGATTGCTCGGGGAAGGGGGGAGAGGAGCGGAGTTAGGGAGAGTTGCTCTTGGGTCCTTCTCGCCCACGTGCTGTGCTTGGTCCTGAGTGAGGGAGCCTCGGGCCCAGGGCTTGGTGCAGAGGGTGCCCGCCCACACCTCTCCTGTCACGGCTGGGCTGGGGCCCACCGGAGCCCTTGTCACCCATCGAGGAGACCTGTAAACAGCTTTATTAGATTAAAGCAAACATCTGCCGAAGGAGCAGAACAGCCAAACCTTAATTGAAGGCCCCCGGGGATGTTTGTGCAGCCAGATGGGAGAGGATCTAACGCAATCGCCTCCTACCGGTCTCTGTGCAGACCTCGCCGATAAAGCCCCATTGCCAGGCAACCAGGCTTTTCCACCTGGACACCTGATAAGGGGCTGGGAGGAGCTGCGTGTCTGGAAAATATGATTTTGTAAGCGGGGCCGAGGACGTGTTGATGCTGCCGTCCCAGGCCCTGGGCCCCACAGTCAGATAAGCAGCTGCCACTTTCCCTGGGGTACTACAGGGGCTGCCTGCCTGGGGGCGGCCACAGCTTCAGCCGGGGAACAGCCAGTCACCCTGGGGGCTGTTGTTACCTAAGACCAGGGGCAGGTGGTGGCAGTGACTGTCTCCCTCACCCTGACTTTTGGCCCAAGCCCCCGGAGATGGAGAGAAGCTAGAACTGCTGAGCACATCCCAACACTGCCACACCCCAACACCCCCACGCCCCAACACCTCGCACCTTCTGCTGCCCGTCTCCTCCCCGTGGCTCCCCGAGGCCCACAAGGCCCTGTGAAGTTTGGCCCAGTGCCGGTCCACCTCCTGCTGCTCCTGCCTCGCTCTCTGTCTGCCAGCCACCTTGGCTTTTCTGCTCCACCATCAGCCTGCCAGGTATCCCTGCCTGGGGCCGGGGCACTGGCTGTCACTTTGTCCGGAGCATTTGAGCCTCAGCTTCCACCAGAGGCTTCGCAGTGGCTTAGCATTGACAAGATACTTCCTTAGCTGGACAGGTGTCTGAAGAACCACCTTCCAAACCAATGCCAATAAACAGGCAAGCCTGGAGCCAGGGGGAGAGGGGCAATCTGTTAGGACAGGAGGAAAGGCAAGGTGTGAGGGGCACCAAGCTCCGGGTGGCCGCAGGACCAAGCACCATTGGAGGGATGGGGAGCGTCAGACCAGAAACGGCCTTGGTCAGTGTCTCTGAGCTAAGGACTTGAGTGAGGGGTCAGTTTTGGCTTAGCTGTTGTGACGCTGCTTGGGACACCTGTATCAGAGCTCCTGCATCCGCGTCCCAGCTCCAGTTCTGCTTCCAGCTTCCTGCTAAGGTGCACCTGGGCGGCAGCTAGTCATGGCCCAAGTCCCTGGGTATCTGCCGCCCATGTGGGAGCCCTGGGCTGAGCTCTGCGCTCCTGGCTTCAGCAGATAGAAGGTTTCTGTCCCTATGTCTCTGTTTCTGAGTCTCTCTCTCTCTCTCTGCCATTCAATTACAATGTAAAATCATTTTAAAGAAGGATTTGTGTGCATCTGATTCCTTAAGAAGTCTTGGTAGAGTGGAGAAGGAAGACCAGGATGGAGGGTGGAGAGGCGGGGAAGGGAGAGAAAGCCAATCACATGTGTGCTAGCAACAGCTTGCACTGTTAATAAAGTGTGCCGTCAACACAGTGTGCACTATCAATATAGTGCGCGCCATCAGCAAGTGAGCGCCATCACACAGACACCGCTGCAGGAGACAGCGCTTAACCTCCCAGGGAACTGCTGCGGAGCGGCCCAGAGAGGCACTGCCCCTCCTGGGGGAGAAGAAGCTGGGGTTTTTCTGTGAAAAGCCTTTGGGTACAGAAGGGCAGATCCTGGCCATGGGAGGTCGGTCAGAGCCCTAAAAGGACCCAGAGTCCCGGGCTGGGCTCTGGCTACACCTGCTGGATGCGGGTCTGGCTTGTGGGGCACAGTCCTGAGCCTGCAGCTTCCCACAGGGTGCACGGGTCTGCCCCCCAGGGCTCCTCTCTGTCAGCATGCCAGGCAGCTGCACATTCTATGACGGCCACCTCTGGAGGCCAGGAGACCACTAGGCTAGTGCTTGAGTGTGTTCGCAGTTCTGTCCCCTGCTTGTCACCCTCTGGGCCAGGAGGCAGCTCCCTCTAGCCATTAACATCCCTACAAGGTAGTACACAGACACAGTGATTTTTGTTGTTATCACAACAAGATATGCACAACATAAAACTTAGCATTTTAATCATCTTTAGATGCACAGTTCAGAGAACCCCATGCGTCTCCAGAGCCTTTTCATCCTCCCACATTCTGTGTGCAGCTCCCACCTCTCCCTCCCGAGACCCTGGAAACCTACACTCTATTTCTCTCTGAATTTACTACGTGGTGATCCAGCCATCCACATGAGAGGTGTGGATGGAGTTTGTGGATGGAGTTCTAGACTCCTGGCTTTGGCCTGGGCCTGCCCTGGCCATGTGGCCCTTTGGGAAGTGAACCAGCAGATGAAAGATCTCTCTCTCTCCCCACCCCTCTCTCTATCTTTGTCTTTCAAATAATCTTAAATTAAAAATAAAGGCATCCTGGTGTAATACTCACTGTGCAAATCTGCGCTCTCCCCACTCCCCCACCCCAACCCCAGCTCATGGGCGGAGTCAGGGGCGGGATTTTGGCTGCCAGTCTTGCACTACTCTCATCCACTTAGAAACGCACCTGGTTTGGGTACAAGTCTATTCTTTATAGCAGCAAAAACAAAACAGCGAGGAGACCTATCTGTAAGTTAAACACACAATATACTGTAGTGGACAGCCGTGACATAAGTCAACAGCTGTGTGAGCCACAGACCTGCACATACTCACAATGACCCCCCCACCCCCCACACCAGTCGTTAGGACCCGATGGGGGCCCCTCCTCATTCAGTGCTCGGCTCAGAGCGGCACTGCCCCAACAAAGGACAAATGCCTGAAGCTGGTGTGCGGCTCTCCTGTACTTTCCACGCCTCTGAGATGAAACACCTGTTATGATTCTGCTGCATGCTCTGTGTCCTCTTCACTCTGCCTCCTGGCTCTCATTTGACTTCCAGCTTTTCTCCCTCTCAGCATGTGCACCTGCTGCCCTCTCTGCATGGAGCTCTTGTCCCTAAACACACACTGGCCACTCCCTCATCAACTTCAACTCCCTCATCAACACCTCACTTCTTGGAGGGGTCTCCCCAGAGCCACCCTGCTTAAATACAACCCTGTGTCTGTCCCTGTCCCTTCTTTATTCTGTCCACAGCCCTTGTCAACACCCGACACACACACTTCTTTATTATGCATTGCCTGCCTTCACCCTCTGGGACGGAAGTTCCCTCAGCACCTGGCCTCTGTCTTTCCTGGCCATGGCAGCATCCTCAGCACCTAGAACACCTGCGTGCAATCCTATGGAGTTCTAAGCACATAGTAGGTGTTCAACACACGGTTGTTGAATGAATGAGTAAATGCATGAATGGAGCCATCTCAGTCTCACATTTCGGGACAGGAATGACACAGGTAGGGCATGAATTGGGAGGGGCTCTGGACAGTGGCAGCTGATGCCAAAGGATCCCCCGGATAGCAGGTTCTCGGTGACACTGAGGTCAAGTGGCAAAAGGTGAGAGCTGGTGGCTGGAGCACGGAGGGCTCCCAAAGGGAAACCATCTGACAAGGAGACGAGCCTTCCCACAGCACCTGCAGGTTGGGGAACACTCAAGACATGGGGAGGGCTGCTCTCAGAAACAGGATCAATTCCAGCCGAGGTGACCCTAAGGGGTGAGCCAGGACTAAGGAGCAGATGCCACAGGGACCCCTGTTGGGCCATGATTTCTGAACAGCCCCCACTCTCCCCCTCCCATGTGAGTGTCCGCAAGGGCCTGGGCTTCCTGGTAGAAGTGACCTCTCAGACTCACTCACCTGTGAGCTGGACTTTCAATCAATACATTCAATTGTGCCGGAGTGTGTGGTGCTGAGCACTGGAAGCAATAACTATAATTCCAATAAATAAGCACACACCCAATGACAAACAGTGAAGGCATCGCGACGGGTGATGATCTGGGAGAGAGGCCCTGCTCAGACAGGGTTCCAGGGGCCTCTGCAGGGCCTGGGGGTGCTACCAGGAGCCGGGCTTCCCCTGGAGCCTGCGAAGCCGGGTGGGGGAAGGGGGAACGTGCCCCAGCCAGAGGGCAGCTCCAGAGCAAAGCGGGACGCGCTACGGCGGGCCGGACCCTCGCGCACAGCACTGCGGAGGAACTCAGGGCCCAGAGCCTGGGGGTGACTTGCCCGGGGGCACACAGCCCATCGGTGGAACCGTCGAGGGGCAGAGGATCAGCGGAGCCCCGCGTGCTGCCTCCTGAAAGCCGCGTACCCGTTCCGCCGGGCAGACCCACCTGCTGCGAACGACCGAGGCCGGCAGGGGCTAGAGGTGGGGCTAAACGTGGAGAGAAACGGGACCGGACCCCGGGGGTGGGGACAGGGGCAGGGGCGGCCCCGCTGACGTCATTTCCGGGGTCGGGGGTATATAAGGGGTGCCCGGGTGCAGCTGCCGCCGCTACCGCTGCTGCAGTGCTGGGCGCGGGCCCCGGGAGGCTGTGCGCGCTCCGACAGACGGACTGACAGACCGACAGACGCCCTGCGCCCCTCGCTGCCAGCCGCTCGGCGCCCCGGGCTCGCCATGCAGTCCGCCGCCGTCCTGGCGCTTCTGCTCTGCGCCTGGCAAGGTGAGCGAGTGCGAAGGGTCGGAGGAGAGGTCCCTGCGCCCCTGGCCGCTCCGGCCTGGGCACCGAGGCGCTGGCTAAGCGCCGCGCGCCCCTCCGACCTCCCCTCGGGCGCGGCGCCTTTCAGCACCACGGACAGCGCCCGCCGGCAGCGACCCGCGGTGCGGCTGCGCCCGGCTCCGCGGAATACCCGGGCCGGACTCCCACCCCGCCGGACAGGGCCCCCTTGCGCCCCCTGCCCTCGCCGGGCCTTGGTGGTCTCAAGGCCAGCGTCTGCGCCGCGCTGAGGCCGGCCAAGGTCATTGGGGGGAGGTGGGAGGACTGCTTGTCGCTCCCCCTCTCCCTCTCTCCCACTTCCACCCTCCCACTCTGCTGCCCTTGACTCCTCTGCCTCTTGAGTCGTCTGTCCACAAGCCCCCCCCCCCCCCCAGGGATCGTCCCCTCTCCCCGCGTCTGTCCCCCACCCCAGTGCCCCTGCGGCCCCTGGCCTGGTTTCCCTAGCACTTGCCCTTAGCTCCTGCTCCCTCCAGGGCAGGCGCCTTCCCCTGGGGAAGCGTTAAGGCTCCCAGCGCCCCCTCTGGGGACCACCCCCTGGAGGCAGCAGGCAGGGTAGGGAAACAAAATCAGCCCCAAACTCTCATGGGGGTGAGGTGGTTTTGGGGGGGCATTAGGTGAATGGGCCCTGATGGCCCCAGTTAGGACCCACCGGCTCCGCTGGGCACAGAGGAGTGAGCCTGGCACTGTTTTTTTCTTTGCAGCCACTGCCCTCCCCGTGAACAGCCCTATGAATAAGGGGGACACTGAGGTAAGACTGGGGATGCCCCTGGGTGGGGGGGAGCCCCCAGTGGACACCCCACAGCCGGTTCTCAGGCAGCTGCAGGAGTGAGTTTGGCATAAAGCCAAGAGCCAGCACTGCGGCTGCTGAGCCCGGGGACAGCGTCAAAAGAAGACATCAAAGATCGCGTGCTTTGCCTTCTGTCCCGCTGCGGGGACTTCCCCCGGCTCCCTCCGAGCTGTGTGTGCAGCCTGGCTCTGCTGGGCCCAGTGAGATGCCAAGCCTGCCATCTCGAACACTGGAATCCAGGAGGCCCACCCTGGCGTGGGGGCAGCCTCTGTGTGGTCGTCCGTACGCCAGTGAGATTGGCCTGCACCTGCACACTCTGCCAGCAGCACCCCGCACGGCGCAGACACTTGAGCCCTGGCTCTTCCAGGGGGCCACCTGGGGAACATCCTCCTTGGACAGGATCCTGGCCAGCGGGGGCCCACGGGGAGGTCCCCTGGGCAGGGGCCCGGGTGGGATGCGCACTTGGAATTCACCTGTATCTGAGCAGGGGCTGTTTGTCCACGCTCTGGTGCCCATGTTTACTCCACTTGAGGGTCGGAGGAATTTCTCCTCCAGTTCTCCTGGGGCTGTTAAGAGGCCACAACCCAAAACATCAAAGATATTTCAGCTCCAATTCCATTTTTGATTTTTTAGTTGCAGGTGGGTCAGAATGCAAACCTCTACCCCCTCCTTCTTTCAGGCTGTGCAACCTTGGGAAAATTCCCTAACCTCCCTGGGTGCCTCCCTCTCCTCTTTTCTCTCGAGGGGAAGAGTGACAAGCAGCAACCTGTATGTGAAGTGCCCGGGATGTAGCAGGTCCTCGGGACGTGGGTCCTGTTCATCCTGGAGCATCCCTGCTTGAGGTCCCCATCCCTCTTGGAACCTGCGCCCCGTTCCTGCCTTCCAGACCCGCCCTCTTGGACCAGGGGTTATTTATAGGCTCAGTGCAAGCTCTGGGGCTGCAGGGAGACACAGGGTACAGGCTGCAGGGGACCCCTTAGGTGGGACACTCAGGTCTCTGTGTTGTGCTCAGCAGTGAGGGGCAGAGGCACAGAGCAGCTGCTTTAAGACCTGGGTGTCCCGCCTGGGGTTAGGGCTGCGTGCACTGCGGAGCACTGGCCGGTTTGCCAGCCTGGAGCCTTGGCTCAGTTGCCTTGGCATCTCATCGACACCACCCCCACCCCCTGCACTTCCGCCTGTGTTGCCTGGTGCCCGTCTGACACCTCCTCTCCTCCTCCCAGCTCTAGGCTGGCGGAGCAGGTCTGGGGATGTGTGTTGTTCTCTGCATGTGTGTGTGGCACTGCTTACTACCAAGTATTTGCCCACTGGTGCCTCATTGCCCTGGGAGGATGGCTGGGCAGGTCTTCTCGCTTCTGTGCTACAATTGAGGGAACAGAGAAGTTAAGCCACCTGCCCAAGATCACACAGCTAGGAGTCCACTCTACAGTCACCATCTTCAGACAGGATCCATTTCTCAGGGACCTAATTATTGGTAGCTCTTTGCTGGGCGCTAGATAAACCCTTCAGAGATACGGCTGCTGTTGGCCTGGGATGGGCAGCAGATGGAGCCAATGTGTGCCCACATACAGCCAGCAGATTCATCCCATCTGTGAATATGGAGCCAGTCTAGGAGCCTCTCTCTCCGTGTGACAGCACCGTGGGTGCTGGGGGACAGTGACCCAGGCCCTGTTTCTAGACATGGTAGAGCCTGGGAAAGCCTTCATTCTCCTCTGGGCAGTCCAGAAGGACTTCCTGGAGGAGCTGACCCTTGGGCATGAGCGGGATCACCGCAGGTTGGTGAGATAGCCTTCTAAGGCCCCGAAGTGGCTTCCATCCTCAGAGAAGCAACACTTGGGATGAAAATGATCCAGGCGCCAGGTCCCCACGCCTGCCTCTCCCTCCCCCGGCTCTGCCTGACAGAGGCACCTGCTGTCGTCACGTGACTGGAGTTACGGGCACTGGCAGTTCTGTCTGGCTAGGGAAGCAGAGCTGTGCCCCTGGCCTCATTAGCAGGCTGCTCCAGAGCCGCTAAGGGCTGAGCCCGCGTCAACGCAGCCCCAGCCTGCGCCCCCGTCTCTCTTCCCAGGTCATGAAGTGCATTGTCGAGGTCATCTCTGACACCCTTTCCAAGCCCAGCCCGACGCCTGTCAGCCAGGAGTGCTTCGAGACGCTCCGCGGAGGTCCGTGCGGGTGGGCTGGGGGCTGTGCCTGCTGGCCTGGGGGGCTGGGGGCTGGGCGTGGGACTTCTAATGGGATAATGGTTGAACTCACAGTCGCTGCCGGGGTCTGCCTTGGCTGGGCACTGTGCCGGGCTCTAAGGGGCACTGGGGGGGGTGACGGGGTCCCAGCTCCTGTGTTTCTGGAGCAGGTGGTGTAGGGAGGGGACACACACGAGCAGATGGAGCTGGAATTCTGGCTAGAACGAGCGGGAGCGCAACAGCAAGGCCGCCAGACTGCGAGTCCCTGGGATGCGGGTTTAGTGAGCTTTGTTCCCAGTGTCTAAAACAGCCTCTGGCACCTGTGGCTTTGTGCTGAACAGAGGAATGGCGTGGTGGGTATGGGAAAGACACAGTCTTCCCAGCTAGACCGCCAATGCAGCCTGGAGCATTTGGGTTGGGCTTTTTAATATAAAAGGACCCGTTGGGAATGAAAACCAGTAGGAAAGTGAAGAGAGGTGACTGCAGGGGAGGGGCTGGCACGAGCAAGGCGCGGGGAGGGGGAGTGAGTTTGGAGAGACCCTTGCTGGTCCCCAGGGGCTGCCCGGTGGCCCTGTGCTGTCCGCTGTGGGCACAGGGGCCCGCCTCTCTGACGCAGCAGGAAGCTGATTGGTGCCTTGGAAAGGAGGTAAATTCCAAAGAGTTACCTGCAACCCCAGTCGGGCTGCTGCCACGCCAGTGTTGCATTTCTAAAATAAACTCCGCGTGCTTGGGGCAAACCCTGCTGGTTCTGCTCTGCCTCCCTGGGGGGCCCCGCCCCCAGTGCCGTGACGCCGCCCCTCGTTACAGATGAACGGATCCTGTCCATCCTGCGGCATCAGAACCTGCTGAAGGAGCTCCGAGACCTTGCTCTCCAAGGTATTTTCCACCGCACTTCTTCTGGCTGAATCCAGGATCTGCGGGGCGGGCGACGAGGGTGGCAGGTGTTTCCTTTCAATCTCAGAGCAGAAAGGTGAGCCCCCGCCCCGTGCCACCTGGCTCCCTCTGTGATTGATGTCATGACAGAGATCAAGGCCCAGAGAGGCCGAGTGACTTGTCCGGGGTCACACAGGGAGCAGGGACGTGCCGAGAGCCCGTGCAGCAGTGCTGTGCCCCGGGGCTGCGGGGCTGCAGCCCTGTCTGGGAGGGCTCCTTTACCCTGGAAACTGGGAGGAGGATTGGTTGCAGGGAGAGGGGGAGTGGCCCTTGGCCCTGAGAGCTCACGCTCAGAGAGGGAAGTGGGGGAGGCGGGGTCTCGTCTGCCCTCAACACAGACCAGACTCTCAGTGTGATTTAGAGCAAGCTGCGTCTTTTGCCAAGAGGTTACGAAAGTCCCCGCTGTTCTGGGGGAAGGGAGGGGCTTTGTGAGGTAGTGAGCTCCCCATCACTGAGGGCAATCAAGCAGAGCCTGGGAGGAACGCTGGGATGGGGGCTCTCAGGCTGCTCCCAGAGTCAGCCGTGTTGCCCAGACCCTAGCTCCTCCCGGGTTGGATGGAAAGCACGGCAGGTTGGGAAATGTGAGGTCTGGCCCTGCCTGTGCCCAGGCTGATGCCCCGGGGACGTGACTGCTCATTCAGGGGCAGGAACCTGGCACCTGTTTCCAAACATCGCGGGGCCCATCAGGGCTGGGTGTGCCTTGGGTGGAGTGGGCAGCATGAAGGCTGCTCCAGCCCCGGGAACACCCCCGCTCTCTGAGGCCTTAGGGGGAGACTGGGCCACGGGAGAAAGGAGAGAGGTGGGGGGAGGGGCAGGTGCAAATACCGCCAGTGGACGGGACCCCTGCGGCCGACCCCGGTTCCCACCGCTCGGCCTTGCCATCGGCCTGGGCGGCCAGCACTCAGCTCGTGGGGTCGCTGGGAGGAAAGTGAGCGCCTGGCTCGTGGCAGGTGCTGGGCCGAGCCAGGGCCGTGGTCCGTTGCATCATCGTCCGTCCTGGGTTTGAGTTGTTTAAGCAGATATTAAACATTTGATTATAATATAATGTTAATTAGATATCGAAACACTTGTCACCTTGAAATAATTCAGTCAACCTGGACTATCATAGGGGAAATCTATGTATCCAACACACATATGTGGTGTTCTTTTCTTTTTTACTTATAACTTTTTACTTTAAAGATTTTATTTGAAAGTTAGAGAAACAGGGGGATGACAGACACAGACACACACACAGATACACACACACAGAGCGAGACTCTTATCGGCTCTTTCAGTCCCCAGATGGCTGCAACAGCCAGGGTTGGGCCTGGTCAAAGCCAGGAGCTAGGGGCTTCATCCGGGTCTCTCACGTGGGTTCAGGGGCCCACATACTTGAGCCACCTTCCACTGCTTTTCCCAGGTGGATCAGAAGTGGAGCAGCCGGGACTTGAACCCGTGCCCATATGAGATGCCGGTGTTGCAGTCAGTGGCTTTACCTGCTGCACCACAACGCCGGCTCCATAGTATTATTTTCTGTTAAAAGTCTACTGGCTATTTTAAAAAGTTCATGGACATGCATATTATAAACACACTATGCATGCATTTCAAACTTGCTTTGCCAGTAAACATAAGTATCTTTTAATTCACTTTTCCACCGCCAGGCTCCCATCACAGCCTGTGCACACCCCTGCAGCCGCCGAGTCTCCGAGAGCCCACGCTGCCCCAGCTACAGAGCTAGGAGATAAGCCCACGTCTGCCTGGGACCACAGCAGGGCCACAGCAGGGCCACAGCGGGGCCACAGCGGGACCACAGCAGGGCCACAGCGGGACCACAGCAGGGCCACAGCGGGGCCACAGCAGGGCCACAGCAGGGCCACAGCTGTCCTGAGAGTCACCCCTTGTGGAAGAGGTGGCCTGGTCAAAGGGCCAGCACAGGGAGCCAGGCACAGGCGGGGGACGGGCAGAGGCGGCAGCAGGGAGGGGATGCAGGGGGAGGGTCTCTGGGTCGCAGCAGCCGGCACCAACCCTTGGCTCAGAAACAGGCCGTCCTTGGCCTTCTCCCCAGGGCCGACTCAAGTTCAAGGGCAGTAAGGGGTCGCCTGAGTGGGGAGGGGACAGGCAGTCGCTGGCAGCGCTGGCTGCAGGGGCGGCTGAGCCACCAGCCAGGCCCGCCCCGGATCCTCCGCTCCATGGAGCCTTGCGCTCTGCCAGGTGAGCCGACCCCCACCCCACGCGAGCTCAGGTCCCCGCAGAGTCGTCTCGGGCAGGCCCAGAACGTGACGGGCCCGGTTTACTGACAGGGAGAGCGAGGCCAGCACTCGCAGCCCAGCCCGCCAGGCCGGAGCCCGACGGGTTTGCTCCTGTGTCTCCTGCCAGGGGCCGAGGAGAGGGCGCGGCAGGAGACGCACAGCGGCTTCGAGGAGGAGCTCTCGCAGGTTCTGGACGCCCAGAGCCACCAGACCACGCCGCCAGGTCAGCGCCGGGCTGTCCAGCCAGAGGCGGCACGCGGGGCCCTGGGCACAGCGGGCATGCAGGACCACGGGCCCCTTACAGGACAGACGCCCCCCGCCCCCATGCCCCATAAGGGTGCTGTTCTTTCTGTCCCAAGTGGGGAAATCGAGGCCCAAGGTGTGCAGTGTGTGTGAATGGGCTCTGAAGTCCTTGATCGGCCCCGCCCACCCCCCCGCAGCGACTGAAGCCTGGCCGGTGGGCAGCTTCAACTCCGGGCCGGCCGTGGCCGCGGCCGCGGCTGCAGGGCCCCCTCCCCGCTCCTGCTGCGCCAAGTGGCTGGGCGGTCTGCAGGGGGTGGGGTTGGAAACGCTTTCTGAAACCGGGCCGGCTTGCTTGAGACCAGAGCTTTAGGGGTCAGCGACGGCGGCTTAGGTCGGTGTCCTGCCCTGGAGCCGCCCCCCCCCCACCTGGAAGGAGCCCCCCGCTGGCCCCCGCAGTGCTGGCTCTCTTCCGGCCGGCGGGCGGGGGCGGGCAGGGGTGGGCGGGTCTGGGAGCCAGCGTCCCAGGGGGCTGCGGTCTGGGCCCGTGGGGAGCCCACAGCTGCGGCTCGGGTGCGCCTCCCCGGCGGCTGTGTGGGTGCAGCGCGGACTCCAGCCCCACGGCTCCAGGGCCAGGTGTCTGGACTGACTGTGGGTGCCTGCGTGGCTGCAGAGGGGCACCAGATAGTGTGTGCGTCTGCAGTGCACACACGTGTGTGCGCCTGCGAGTGTCCGTGTGTGTGTGCATGTGTGTCTGCATCTGCGTGTGCACATGTCTGAGGTGGGTGTCCATGTGCATGTCTGTGTGTGCAAGTGTGCAGCTGTCAGTGTGTCTCCATGTAAGTGTGTGTGTGTGCATGTCTGTGCATGTGCATCTGTGTTCATGTGCGTGTGTACATGTGCAATCCTGTGTGCACACGTGCAGTCTCTGTGTATGCATGTACACACATGTGCATGTCTGCTCACATGTACGTGCACACGTGTGAGTCTCTGTGTCCATGTGCATGTCTGTGTGGGCATATATATGCACTGTGCATGTCTGTTCACATATGCGTGCACATGTGTGTACATACGTGTTTCTGTGTGTGCATGCATGTGTGTCTCTGTGTGTGCATGTGCGTGTCGGTGTGCACATACGTGTGCATGTCTGTGTGTGTGTGTGTGTCTGCCTTTTGGGGAGGCAGCCGTGTGCTAGTGCAGCCCTGAACTTGGTGTCCGGAGGCTTGGGCTCGAGGCTCAGCTCCGCTGCCCGCAGGCCGCAGGCCCCTCCCCTCCACGCAGGCTGGGTTGCGTTCCTGTGAGGTGGGCCTAGAGTCCTGGCGGGGCTGCAGCCGGGAGCCGTGTTCAAGGGCAGCGGCCCTAGCGACAGGGCCTAGCGGCAGGGCGCGTCACTGCTCGGAGGCCGTCTTCAGGGCAGCCTTGGAGAACACCTTCTAACGGAGTCCTGCGGGAAGCCGCACCTGGCCGAGTACGAGGCTGTGCAATGAGAGGTTAAGTGACTTGCCCAAGGTCACACAGCTCTCCAGCCTGCAGTGCAGGCTTCCGTCCTCTTGCGTGAGTTCCTGAAGCCGCCTGGTTTTGCTGTGCCTGTTGGGTTTTGGTTTAAGTCCCACCCGATTTTGAGGCAGCATAAAAGGAAGAAACAGTCCGGTGGCTCCCCCCAGGCCTGCAGTCGGAGGGCAGCCCTAACGGCCGCCCTGGGCGGGGCCTGCCGGACGCCAGGTGTGCACTGGGACCTGAAGCGCGCCCCTGCCTCGGGGCCTGACGTGCTGTGTCGACTGCAGGGGTGACGGAAGAGGCGGCCTCTAGGGACGCAGAGGCGAAGAGGGAGGACTCGAGGGAAGCACCGAGGAGCGGGGAAGCCGCAGACGGAGCCGGGCCCCAGGCCTTCCCAGCGCCCGGGCAGGACAGCACGGCGGACGCCAACAGCCCAGCCCTGGGGGAGGCAGAAGCCACCCTCACCCAGCCCCCACCCAGCCTCCCCGGCCAGAAACACCCAGGGCCGCAGGCCGAGGGGGACAGCCGGGGCCCCACATGGCATCCAGTGGACGGGGCCAGAGGGCCGAGTGCAAAGCCAGGGCAGCAGGCGAAGAGAGAAGAGGAAGGGGAGGAGGAGGAGGAGGAGGAGGAGGAAGAGGAAGAGGAGGAGGAGGCAGAGGCTGGAGACAAGGCCGGCCCTGCGCGGGAAGGCCCCACGGCAGCAGGTGGCCCGCACGCCAACCTTGGCTACAAGGAGGAACGGAAAGGCAAGGGTACGTGTGTCGCTCACCCTGGCCACGTGTGTCTGGGAGAAGGGGGTGGGCGGGACGTGGCCTCATCCACATCTCACGGCGTCCTCGTGGCACCCCTGCCAGTAGGAATTATCTCCACTGTCCAGATGGGCATCTGAGCTCAGAGAGGTTAAGTGACTTGTCCAAGGTCACACAGCTCACTCGTAGTCAGAAGCTAGGTTTGCATCCCAGGTTTGACTCCAATTCCACGAGGCTCACCCTAGTCCACAGGGGCGGAGGGGCTGGAGGGGGAGTGGGTGGGCTTTGGGAGCAGAGGCAGCATGATGGGGGGAGCCGCCTGGTCTGGGTACCGCGTGAGCTCCAATGAGGGGAGGCTCCGGCACCACACAAGGGCATGGCCAGGTCCTCCCCTCGTGCCCCCACCCCCCAACTGGATGAGCCGTGCCGGGCCAGGGGCTCCTAGGGTGCAGGAGCTGCAGGAAGAGGTGGGCTCTCCTGCCCCAGGGAGTGGCAGGGACGGGACTGGGCGCCGCCCTCATCTGCTCTTGTCACCACCTGCTCCAGGTCGGTCCGAGGCTGTGGCCCAGGATGGCGCCAGGAAGACTGGGGCTGAGCCCCCCGAGGGGCAGGAGGAGGCGGAGGAGCCGGCGGGGCCCCCCGGGGGTCCTTCCCTGGACGGGAAGGACGAGCAGGACGAGCCGCTCTCCAAGGAGTGGGAGGGAGCCAAGCGCTGGAGCAAGATGGAGAAGCTGGCGCAGGAGCTGACGGCCGAGAAGCGGCTGCAGGGCGGGGACGGGCACGGGGACGAGCCCGACCGCTCCATGAAGCTCTCCTTCCAGCCCCGCGCCTACGGCTTCAGGGGGCCCGGGCCCCAGCTGCGGCGGGGCTGGCGGCCGTCGGCCCAGGAGGACAGCGTGGAGGCGGGCCTGCCCCCGCGGGGCCACGGCTACCCGGAGGAGAAGAAGGAGGAGGAGGGCAGCGCCAACCGCAGGCCTGAGGTTGGTACCGGGCGGGCGCCGCCCGGGGCAGCCGACCCGGCCACGCAGCCCCTGCCCTGGGGAGGGGACACAGTGCCCTGGAGCCCGCGACTGCAGAGGGACTCGGGCGGGCGATGGGGCTGGCACCGTGAGGGGCTGGTGTGGCAGGCGCGTCCCGATCCGCCTGCAGGTGCTTTGTCCTGAAGGTGCCGGAGCCTGCAGGCTTGTGAGCGGGGCGCAGCGGGAGGCAGAGAGCTTGCTGGGTGGGGGGGGGCAGGACTGGGAGGGCCCTCGGCTGCCTGGGAGATCCGAGTCCAGGGCCGCGTGGCCCTGAGAGCTGGGAGGCCTTGGGGAGGGGGCCTGCCCTGGGCAGAGGGGCCTTGGTCTGGCCATGTCCACCCCTGGCCCCCAGGCAGCCCCGGTGCGGGTGGAGGCAGGCCCAGCTGGGCCCCGGTGCAGGTGAGCAGGCTGGGGAGGCATGGCCTGGGGGGACAGCAGACCTGGGTCTGGCCTCCTCCTGCTGTGTGACCTGGGGGAGGTCACTCCCCTTCTCTGAGCCTCATCGCTCACCCCATGTGTGAAATGGGGGCGAGGAGTCCTTTCCACTCCCCTCAGTATCACACGCCCGTGAGCTCTGAAATCCGAGCCACACCTGGGCACGCAGGGACCCTGCCTGTGGGGCAGCTGGGGCTTGGGTTCCCTGGCCCATGGAGCAGGAGGGGCCCTGGGGCTGCCTGGTTCAAGCCTCAGTGCTCCATGGGAACCAGAAGGCCAGGACCTGTCCACGAACCCCCAGGTTCTCTGCCCGCTCTTCGAGTCCCCAGCCCTCTCTGGGCCCAAGGGCCGCCTCAGAGCAGCTGCAGCGGGGAGGGGCATCTGCCCAAGGCCCTGGAGACACGGAAGGGGCCACAGGAAGCAGCGGCTGGCAGCCCCACTCTGGCTTCGGAGCCGGGACACCACGGGCCCCGTGAGCACTCCGTCGTCACCCACAGAAGCTGGGGAGATCGGGGTGCCCAGGGGCACCTGCCAGGTTCTCGTCTTCACAAGCAGAGGCAATGTTAGACCACAAGACAGAGAAGTGGGGGCCCAGAGTCACATGGGCAGGGCGGGCCGGGGTCTTCTCCGCCCAGTCCCAGGGGCCTCCTAGAAACCCCAGCATCCCAGAACTCGTGCCCCCAGTTACTCCAGGTCAGAACTCCAGGGAGCCACTGTCCGTGGCCTGTGCCACAGTGGGGCTGTAGACACAGGCTTGGGGCCGGTGGCCCTAGCAGCCTGGAAGCCAGGGGGACTGCAGGCATTCGACCCCCACTGCCAGGCCCCTGAGCTCCAGGCTACGCCCTGGTGGGTGTCCAAGACAGCACAGGGCTCGGAGGAGGCTCCCCTGCTCCCAGGAGCGCCCTGGCAGCCAGAGGCCAGAGACCCCGCCACGGTCAGGACCAAGCCCCAAGCCCAGGCAGGTGGAGGTGGGCAGCACTCGGCATCCAGTCCACACAGCTGCCCACACAGACCCCACAGGCCTGGCTGCACCTCGGTCTAGGCTGAGCTCTGCTCTGTGGGGCCCTGGAAGCTTTGTCTTCCACGTGCCCTGGATGAGACCCCAACTGACCAGAACCATCCAGGAAGAGGGGCTGCAGGAGCCTGCAGAGCAGTGGGGTCACAGCCCCTGCCCCCACCTTGTAATGACCCTCAGAGCAGCCTGGCAGGGTGGTGTCACTGTCCCCATGATACAGGTGAGGTCCCCGAGGCTCAGAGAGGCAAAGCCACCTGTCCCAGGCCGCACAGCTCACCACAGCCCAGCCAGCGTGGCTCACTGTCCCCTCCAGGCCCATCCGTGTGACCCTCGGTGTTCTGTCCTAGGACCAGGAGCTGGAGAGCCTGTCGGCCATCGAGGCGGAGCTGGAGAAGGTGGCACAGCAGCTGCAGGCCCTGCGGCGGGGCTGAGCCGCAGGCTGGCGGGGCCGCCCAGGGCTCCGGGGCACCCCGTGGTCCTGGCTCTGCTGTCGCCTTTGCGGCTCCTGGTCACACAGCCCGGACACTGCTTCCAGCCGGGAGCCAGCCTCCAGGCCGCCGAAGCCCAGGCCCCGTCGCCCCCTAGACTCCCTTCCTCCCATTCTCGACCCTGGAATATCCTTCCACACTGCACCCCCTCCCCAACTCTCAACGTCGGTTATTCCTTCTCTGAACACGGGCAGCTTTCTAGAAGTTTCCTTCCACCATCACCTCCACTGGGCACTATTGCAAGAACTTCTGACCTTTGGGGAGAGCGGAGAGCGCCTGACTAAGATATTCTGCACAAGATTATCCAAGGAGAATAAATCTGTTCTGGGCTCTCCGCCTTCTCTGTTCCCCTCAGCTCTGACAGGGTGGGGCGTGCTGGGATTTGGGTCGGGGGACAAGGGGTCTGTCCACCTGCGGCCATCCTTTTTTTCCCCCCTCTTAAAGATTTATTTATTTGAAAGACAGAGTTAGAATCTTCCATCCACAGCGGCTGCAACGGCCAGGGCCGGGCCAGGCCCAAACCAGGAGCCTGGAGCTCCCTCTGGGTCCCCCATGTGGGCGCAGGGGCCCAAGCACGTGGACCATCTGCGGCTGCTTTCCCAGGCACATTATCAGGGAGCTGGGTCAGAAGTGGAGCAGCCGGGACACAAACCCTCACTCAAATGGGATGCCAGTGTCGCAGGCAGCAGCAAAATCCCCTGAGCCACACGCTGGGGAGGGGAGGGGGGGGTCCATCCTGGGCCACTCCCTAGGTGTGGGACCCTGAGTTTGTGATTGTGCACCTCTGAGCCTCAGTTTCCCCATCTGTGCAATGGGGGCGCTGCTGTGCCTCAATGAGTCAGGATGAAATAACACAGCAGGGACCCCACTCTTCCTGTCCCTCTGCTGATTCCCAGCCGTCCATGCAGCTTTCTGAGCCTGGACCACCCCCAGCCTGATGGTCAGTGTCCCCTCATCCCCTGAGACACCAGCTAGAGGCCCTGAGAGCCCCCAACAGTGCCTGCCTCAGACTGCAGGTGCCAGACCGGCTGTGGGCCTCTGAGCTGCAGGGCGCCTGGCACATGTCCTGACTTCCGACTCAAGAACTCTGCACAGGACTAGGGGGTGCCTGAAGTCCACACACGTGTACCAGAGCAGGGCACATCTTAGTTCCCGTTTTGGAAACAAGGAAACCGAGGCAGCAGTGAATGACTCGCTGAAGTCACAGGCAGGGGTGATGGGCAAAGCACGTGAGCCTGGGGACCGTGCAGGATGGGCCGGGCCAGGGCGCTGGATCCCCGGGGACCAGCTACATGGCAGGGCTGAGCAGGGAGCGGTTTGTCAAACATTGCCACATGGCTGCCTTGTGCCTAGAAAGCCTGGGCATATAGCAAAGGCCAGGACAAGCCCTGGTTTACGAGGCCCACAGCTGGGGAGGGTGTTTGGTGCAGTGTTTAGTTGCCACTTGGGACACCTGCATCCCAATCAGAGCCTGGTTTGACTTCCAGTTACTCTGCGCCCCATCCAGCTCCCTGCAGGTCCTCACCCTGGGAGGCAGCAGGGGATCCCGCAAGCACTCGCGAGACCCAGCCTCTGGGTGGGTTCTGGGCTCCTGGGTTTGGCCTGGCCCAGCACTGGCTGCTGTGGGCATGAGGGGGTAAACCGATGGATGGGACAGGGATCCCCATCCGTCTCTCTGCCTTTCAAATAAAGCGAAAATAGGTTTTCAAAAATTAAAAACAAACAAGCCCACTGCTGAGTGGGTAAAGTCAGACTCTTCAATGGCTAAAGCAGCTGGCGCCGCGGCTCACTAGGCTAATCCTCCGCCTAGCGGCGCCGGCACACCGGGTTCTAGTCCCGGTCGGGGCGCCGGATTCTGTCCCGGTTGCCCCTCTTCCAGGCCAGCCCTCTGCTGTGGCCAGGGAGTGCAGTGGAGGATGGCCCAGGTGCTTGGGCCCTGCACCCCCATGGGAGACCAGGAAAAGCACCTGGCTCCTGGCTCCTGCCATCGGATCAGCGCGGTGCGCCGGCCGCAGCGCGCCGGCCGCGGCGGCCATTGGAGGGTGAACCAACGGCAAAGGAAGACCTTTCTCTCTGTCTCTCTCTCTCTCACTGTCCACTCTGCCTGTCAAAAAAAAAAAAAAAAAAAATGGCTAAAGCAGCCCTGCACTTGGCCCACGCTCGCAGGCCGGGCACGGCCCCTCTCCAGGTGGCCACACCGGGGCGCACGTCCTTGTCCTGCACCCTCAGTAAGAGTAAGCCGGTGAGGGTGACTCCTGGAGGCAGTGGTGAGGCGACCGTGCAGGGAGGGGCCTGGGGCTCAGGCTCAGAGGTGCTGTTGCGACCCGCAGGGCCAAGTCCTGAGTGTGGGTTAGGATTTGGGCACCCAGCTCCCCAGGGCCCGGGCTGCCGGGAGGTTCCGAGCAGACACGGTGCGGCAGGGAGGACGAACCCGCTGCCCAGCTGGAGGGCTGGCGCGGCCGTTCCGGCCCCTCGGAGCCTCATTTCCTTCATGTGTAAGATGGGGGTGGGATTCTCTGCTTACCAGACCGCAGAGGGGCCCAGCCAGCACTGCTAGGGCGACGTGAGTCATTTGTGCAGGGTCTCAGCACGTCTGGGCCTCTCCAATGAGGCCAGGCTGCCCAGAGCTGCCCGGGCTCACGGCCCCGAGCACACAGGGCCGCCCTCTGCGTGGCCGGTGGCAGAAGCTGTTTAATTTCTTCCCGTGTTTTCAAGAGGTAGCTTTATGCTCCTCCGCTGAGTTACAGAAGCCACAAACAGCACTACCTGTATTCCACGAGGCTGCTGAAAGCCAAAGCATCCGCTACCACCACCAGTCAGCAAACCGAGAGGACCAGGGACACGTGGTGTCTGAACCTACCCTCCCAGACACGCGGCACCTGCGCGGTCACTGCCACGCCGGGCCGGAGCTGTGACTGCATGCCTAGCCCGCGTACTCACACTGCAGAGCACAGACCCACATGGGGCTCGGGGGTGGCTGCTGCGGACGGGGCTAAAGCAAAGGGCATTTGTCACCAAGCACAGGCACCGGCGCTGACGGCGACAGCCTGGGGAGGGGTGTGGTGCCACACGCGGCCCTGAGGGTGCTGCCAGGTCCCGGCCGATTCTGGAAGTTCAGGGAAAATGCAGCCGGCTCTGGAAGGGGCTGGGTGGGCTCTGCTCATCCAAGGAGGGACAGAGGCGTACACGAGGGCGACCCACAGAGAGGCCTCGGCTCCAGCTGCTGCCCTCGTCTGCCTCCAGGTGACCTAGGCCCAGCTCCAGGGCCCCGGGGTAGACAGGGCTGTGAGCCACAGCCTGGGGGAGGGGCACTGCAGGACCCCACCGCCTGAGCGACGGCTTCCTCGGGGAGGCGGCAGGGCACACGGCCCCTGGGGCGTCAGCGACTCTGTCCAGTGGCTCCTTGGCCAGCGAGAACACCAGGAGACACGGCCCGGTCTTGGGGGCTGGATCTTGGGGTGGCTGCTTAGCGAGCAGCCGCTTTTCTCGTTGGTTCAAAAACCAGTTTCCTCCTAGGGTCTCCCAACTTCCGGGACAACTGCTGGGCAGGCCCGGGGGCAGAGGGGGCTTCTCCAAGGCCATCTTCTCCTTCACCGAGGCGCCCCAGACTCAGGGAGGCCACGGACAGGAAGCCTCCTACAGTCCCCGAGGCCTCAGCTGGGTGACTGAGGCCCAGCCCCACGCCCGTCACAAGCAGAGACCCCCGCCCGGGACACATTCCCCTCAGCTTTCCTGCGAGGCCGGCGGCCGGCACCCAGCTGGGGAGGTGCCTGTGGCATCGTCTTCCAATGCCAGCAGATCCTCACCCAGGGCCTCGGCTCGGGGTGATCCCCGGATGCTACCCCAGCCAAGATGTGGCCTTGCCACTTGTTCCTGGAGCCGTCTGACTGCCCTGTCCAAGGGCCATGGCCAAGAGAGAGGCTCAGGCCACGAGGGTTCCCGCTGCCTCATGACACGGGCCAGGCCGGCCCTGGTCAGTGCCCATGCACCACCACGTGGCATGACCGGCCAGGAAGCAGTGGCCACTGCACCCTGGGGAGGGGCAGCCAAGGCCACACTCACGGTTCTCATTGGCCTTTCCTGCGTGCAGAGCCCCCAAGGCTTCAGGTCGGCCACAGGGGAAACCAATTTGGTTTTGGGACCAAGATAGGCGAGTGTGCACCAGGGGACACTTACGGAACGGGGTTCTGGCTGGCCACTCCAAGGGGCGCCTGTGCTGGCAGCCTCTCCCTCCAGCCTGCGGCCAGTGTCCCTGGCCAGGACGGGCCCTCCGCCCCATGCTGTGGCTCCCAGGGCTCTATGAGGCAAACCCCCGACCCTTGATGTGTACTCATGAAAGACGCATGGGCCCTGCTCCCCACCACACGGAGGCCGTGGAAAACGCTGTCATGGGAAGGCTGGGACCTGACACCAGGGCCCTGGACACCACCCGCGTGACCCCGCAGAGGTAACCAACAAGGTGGCCCGTTCCCAAGGCAGGGGGCGACTGGGGCTTCATTTCGAGGTCAAGCTGTTGAATGAAATGTCTTTTCCTTCGAGACGGGGAGAGCGGGTGACGAAACACACGAGCTGCGTCGTGCAGACGCGCGTGGAGTGTGGTTTGATTTCAGTAGTTTATTTTGAAGACAAAGCAGTGCAAGAGGCCAGCCACGCTTCCCCGCGTCCTGGGACCTGGGGTCAGACCTGGGAAAGGTGACGCACACACGTTCATCGGGGTCGACATTCGGCTCATGTCAACGTGGGCGGCCGCCGGCCTCACCCCAAGGACGCTGGGAGGGTCCCATGGCTTCTGCCTGTCACCGAGGCCCAAGCGCTCCCGGCAGGCACCTGTGGGCCCCAGCCGCTCCGGGGGTGCCGGGGACTCTCCAGCACCCTGTCTCACTGGGCGACAGCACAGCGGTTTCCTTCCAAGTGTGCTGAAGTCTCGGGACACAACAGCACACTTGGGGGTCCCAGTGTCCCACACCTTCCAGGGATGGAGGACGCTCCCACCTGCTCCTTCTCGGTGGGGGGCTGCGGGCCCACATGTCGCCGTCCCAGCGATGGGGTGGTTCCCTCACACCTGGCTGGTTAGCGCTCGGGGCGTGCAAGGGATACGGCCAGGTGGCCGAGACCTGCCCTGGGAAGCTCCTGTGTCCAGCTCCGTCCGGCTGACTGGACACAGCCATGTGGGCCGGCCGTTAGGCCAGCCTTTTGGAGTTTGCTGGTCCCGACTGGCCACGCGAGGCAGACGGCTTCCCCGGGGGGATTACGGGCCACAGCCTCAGCACAGGAGGCACCAGCTGGGCTCCCACCCACGCGGCCTCCCTCCTGGGCTCCAGGGAGCAGCAGCAGCACCAGGTTGGAGGAAAGAGGACCCCAGGCATGGCTGAGGGGCCAGCCAGCCACGGGCCTGGGCCTCCCTGGGCCCCCCAGCACGGTGCACTCCCTTGAGGGGCCTGAGCCTCCTGTGGCTTTCAGGAGAGGGGTCGGCCGCACGTGCGGTGGGGGTGGGGCCACGCTCCTAGCAGGAGGGACGCCAAGGAAGGTCCGGTGTGGGCAGGCTTGGAGAGAAGCGACAGGAGAAACCGTTCGTGGCGTGGGCCGGCTCTGTTCAGCCACCGGCAGCCTGACCCGGCCCAGCCTGCCCCCTAGACGCCTGGTCCCCACCTGCACGGCAGCCACACACGCACGTGCGCACACCCACTCACGCTCAGCCCTAGTGTTGAAAACACAGCGTGTGTAAACACAGCAGGACTCAGTAGCCGGCCCTTTCCCGCAAGGCGGGGCCCCTGCTCTCGCCCTCTCCCAGCTCCCAGTCACCAGATCATGACATCAGATCAGGTTACAGATTAAAAAAGACAAGAATCAGATCATTGGGAATTCTGAGTAGTAGCGTCCCCCGGCGGGAGCTGCCGGCCGCCCCTCTGGGTCCCGCGCTCCGTGGCTACTGGGAGGAGGCCTTGGTGGCCAGGGAGGCCACGCAGTGCTGCTGGAAGTTGGGCGACACGCTGGCGGTGCAGCCAAGTCTCTGGTGCGGCAGCTTGGCGGTGCTGCCCGTGCCGCCCGCGTCGGCCTCCGCCTTCCAGGCCGCGTCCTGGCCCAGCAGGCTGCAGCAGCCCGGGCTGGCGCTGCACGTCCGCTCGGCCGCCAGGCTGCTGTGCCTCAGTGGGGCCACGTCCCCCGCGGCGGCAGCGCTGGCGGCGGCGGCGGCCGAGCTCTGGCCCTGCAGCACGCTGGTGATGTGGTTCAGGAGGTCGGTGAAGAACTCGTTCACGCCCTCGTAGCCTGGGCGGGGGTGGGGAAACAGACAGCAGTGGGGTCAGCCAGGGGCTGGTTGTGCCAGGGATGGAGGGGGGCACCAGCAGGAGCCCATTCAGGGAAAACCCGTTCTGGGAAGCTGCAGGCCTGGCACTGATGGGAACCCCTGCAGCCCCAGCTATTGTCTCCCAGAACGAACCCAACATGGTGGCACAGCGGAGGGGAGGGCGGGGCGCGGCTGGAGGTGGCTCCTTGTGCCCCATAATGAGTCCCTTCCCCTCCCCCCACGCAGCTCCAGCGAGCGCGGCCTTGGCCTGACCCCTGCGCTCGTCTCTGCTCAGCTGAGTGAGTAGAACACCTGTCTCGGGGAGCCTGGCCCCGCGGCAGCTGCTGCCCCACCTGTCTGACTCCTCACCCTGCACGGGAAGGCCCCTGTGCCCCACGCACTGAGGACCGCCCACGGGACCGAGGCCTGTGCCCAGGACCCCAGCCCCTCTGCCCCTGAGAGGAGGGGTCCCCTTCCCTGGAATGGAAACTGCTGGTGCCGACGTGAGCAGAGTCCCTGGCTGCCTGCCACCTGCCTGAGCGGGCGTGCAGGGAAGGGGTGTGAAGGGACACACAGCCGCGAGACGCCCATGGGAGCAGATGTGGGTCCCCAAAAGGAGCCACAGCGTGCCCGCCCTGGGAGGGGGCTCCGGGCACCGCCTCCCCCCACCCCGGCGCGGCTGTGACCACCGCCGCCGGGCCCCTGGCTGAGCGGTCACAGCCCTCAGCACAGGGACACAGGTTTGCACGCAGGCACCACGCGCTGGGCCTCGGGGAGACGCCGTGCAGGGCGTGCCTGCGGGTCTACTCATTGATGCAGCGGCCAGAGGGGGCCGAGCGGGGGCACCCACGGGAAAGCAGAAGGGGTGGATGGCGCAGGCAGCATCTCCAGGCACCAGTACCGGGCAAGCGTCATGCCGGGCCCTCCCTGTCTACAGACGGACACAGCACTGAGCCAGGCTGGCAGCCCCAGGCCGGGACGGCACCTTCCTCGGTGTGGGCACCGAAGCTCCGGGAGGCCCCGTGTCTCACGGGTCACAACAGGCTGCGCTGGGATCCGACTGTGCCCTGAACAGCACGTGGTCCTGGGTGACCCCACCCTGGGACAGCCCTGGGGCAGGGTGTGGCAGGGCAGGCCCAGGCCTGTGGCCAGGAGTTGCCAGGTGAGGCTGCCAAGTGCCTGGGTGGAGGTGCAAACAGGGGTGGGGCCTGCGGCCACTCTGGGGTCACCGGGGAGCAGAACGCCATTCCCCAGCAACCACTCCGCCAGGTCCCCAAAGTCCAGGGGCCCGGGTGGGGCTGTGTCCTCTGGGGCAGGGCAGAGGCCTGGGAGGAATGGACAGGCACAAACAGCAGGGCAGGCGCCACGCCACGCCACGCCACGCCATGCCACGCCCTGTGTGGGACCGCCTCTTCAGTAATGTCCCCATTGCACAGAAGCCCTATGTTATGAGTGTCCCCATCGCGCCCTCAGTTCCCCTGCTCCTTCTCGCTCCAGCTCATCTCAAGGCCCAGCCACACTGCACCTAGGGTGCCTGGAGCCAGCCGGGTGGCCATCCCCAGGGGCTGCAGAGCGCACGAGGCCTCCTGCCCCTGGCATCCTGTGTCCTCCCGGGCCCCAGCTGTACCCGCTCAGGCCCTGGGCTCTGCCGCTCGTGTTTGCTGGTGGCTCTTCCCCTCCTTGCCCCACTGTGCTCTGGCATCGCCGCCTCACCAAGGGGCCCCACCCCTTGTCCTCTGCTTCTCCTGGGGGGTTGGGTTGGGGGGTAAACTCTCCAAGGGCCTTAGTCTCCTTGCCTTCTCATCTCCTTTCGGCTTCTTGACCCTAAGGGGGCCCAAGGGATGGACTGATTTGGCCACTGAGGGTCAGTGCCGATGCGGTGGGGTGGGAGTCGGAGGCGGGAGTCTGACCACGCCCACCTGCACCTGCAGGGTGCTCTCCTGTGCTGTGTCCGGCTCTCGCCCACTCCTCAACCCACCTTAGGAGCTCATTCTGCAGGTGGGGCTGAGGCTTAGCACAGGGAGCACGCACCCCAGACCCAACAGTGAGGGGTGGGGCTGGCTGTCTCAGCCCCTGCCCCCCGGTCTGCGGCTGGCTGGCTGCAAGCCCAGGGCCAGCAGGAAGGAGGTGGCCGGCCCGCTACTCACCTGGGAAGGCATTGATGTCGATGACGGCGTGCTGCCCCGTCTGGTTGTTGATGATGATGTCGATCCCGAAGAGTGACACGCCCAGCGCCTGCCGCAGGGCCCGGGACAGCGCCCGGATGACCTCATCATTCGGCCGCTCAAACACGCCCTCGATCTCGTCCAGCTGTCAGCACACAGGGGAGGGGGTCAGGCTGTGGGTGGAGCAGAGTTCTCCCCGACTCCCCGAGGCACCATCAGGTCCCGACTCCCTGCCGACCGGGGCAACGAGTGTACACGGCTCGTTACCTGCCCGGGCTCCGCACTACCTGGGAGGCTGCTGGCATTTCACACCCAGACAAATGAGTACAGAGAGGGTCGGGGCTGGTCCGGGGGCACACAGCCCAAAAGCACAGGGCTGTGTGTAGACCCAGGTTTGTCAGCCTCTAAAACCCAGGTTCCCACGGGGAGGAAGCAAGGTGAGCGTCTCAAGACCCAGAATGTGTTATGGGGCCCGGAGCTATGGAGCCAGAGGGCGGGGGGATTCGGGGACCTGGGTGGGAGGACAGAGACCTGGGGAGCACGGGGGAGGCCCAGGTGCAGGGCAGGGAGCCGGAGTGGGGATGCAGAGAGCTGTGACCAGCACCACACTCCCCGCCATCCTGAGAGCCCTGTGACCAAGGCACTAGGGCCCGGCCCCTGTACTGCGGGGCTCGGGCTGGGGCACCGCCAAGCGGCTTCCTAACAGCCACGCCCCACGTGAGCCTGGCGTGGCTCCTGCCTGGCAGCCGGTGGCCGCACTCAGCTTTCAGGGACACTTTCGTAGGGCTATTCAGGCCGGCTCAGCCCACAGTTCTCCCACCTGCCCTCACTCCCTGCTCTGGTCACAGCGGGCTCGGGACAGGCCCCTGGTCAGGGCCTCCAAGGCGAGAAAGGATTCTGGAGTCTGGAAATTTGGATGTGAAACTTGACAGCGACTTCCTACCTCTGCGGACTCAGGGAACAGCACTTGGCCTCTCTATGTCTCGGTTTGCTCATCTGTAAAATGGGACTAAGGAAGCCTCCACCGCACACTTGCCCGGAGGTGGGGCTAGCACAGGCCTGACACCTGGGTACGCTCACCAGCCAATCAGGCTAATTAACCACTGCCCTCTGGAGGCGGATGAAGGCCTGGGACACAGTGGGCGCAGCCTGTTTTGGCCCTGTTTCCCTCTTGCCCTGGACCCGCTTGCTGCCCCCATGCCTTCAGGACCCCCGCCCATACTTCCTGGCCTCTATGCTCCTCCACGTGGCTGGATCCTGGTACTCGGTGTGAGTCCAGGTTTCCCTCTCTTTTAGGTGGGACCCTCACTCTCCTATGCATTTCTCCCACTGAATAAAAAGCTTAAAAACTTATTAAAAAAAAAAAATAGCACCGGCCTGCCGGACGGAGGGGCACAGGGCTCGCCCAGGCACTCAGTCCTGGAGTTCCAGGGGCTGTGAGCTCGGGGGCCAAAGGGAAGGGGAGACTTGACCCACATCAGACAAGCTAAAGCCGGCTCAGTAGGTAACCCAGGGGCGTCTTGTCCCACACAAGACGAAGCTAAAGCCGGCTCAGCAGGTAACCCAGGGGCGTCTGGCCTAGTGGGTCAGACCCCACATCCGGGTACCTGGACTTCAGCTTCCGGATAACGCAGCCGGCAGGAGGCAGTGGTGACGGCTCAGGCCCTGAGTCACCGCCACGCACGCACGTGGGAGACCTGGGCTGAGTTCCCAGCTCCAGGCTTTGGGGTCCACCTCGCCCTGGCCACTGGGGGCGTCGGGGGAGTGAAGCAGCCGATGGGAGCTTGCTCTCTCTGCGTCTCTCTCAGAAAAACCCAACACTTGCCAATGTATGTTACACTGAATGACAGAAGTCAGACACGAAGGGGCCACGCCCTGCTATAAAGTAGCTGGAACAGGTCCTCCTCCGAGACAGAGCAAAGCAGGGCGCCCGGGGCTGGGCCTGGGGGCCCCGGGGTGGGGACTCCCTGGAAAAGGCTTTTTCTTAAAAAAGATTTATTTATTTATTTGAGCATCAGAGTTAGAGAGAGCGCGGTCTTCCACCTGCTGGGTTCACTCCTCATGTCCACAATGGCCAGGGCTGTGCCAGACCAAAGCCAGGAGCCAGGAGCTTCTTCCAGGTCTCCCATGTGGGTGGCAGGGGTCCAAGCACTTGGGCCATCTCTGCTGCTTCCCCAGGCCATTAGCAGGGAGCTGGATCAGAAGTGGAGCAGCCGGGACGCGAACCAGCGCCCGTACGGGATGCCGGTGCCGCAGGCGGCAGCTTCACCGGCTATCCCCCAGCGCCGGCTAGCCCCGGCTTTGTTCTTGTGCCAATAAAAGCATTTTGGATCCTGAGAGGGGCGGAGGTTCACAACAACGAGAATGTACAACAGCCACCGAATTGTTCACTTGAACGTGAATTTCACCTGAATTAAAGAAAAGTCAGTGAAGCTGGGCCAGGAAGGCTGGGGACAGAAGCCCGTCTCCAAGTCGAACGGCCCTCACCCCAGCCCAGAGGCTCAAGGCACACCTGCGGACAGCGACCCGCACTGGCACCCCGCCGGCCCTGCAGACGGGGACCCCTCCCGGCACGACGGCACCAGGCGTCTCCTGAGGGGCAGGCGCCCCGTCCTGCTGCCCTCCCCGCCCCCGCTCAGCAGGGAGGGGCAGAGGTCCCACAGCTCTGGCCCTTGCCAGGGCGCGGAGACCCAGGCAGACTGCAGGCCGTGAGCCCCCCCCCCCCACACCAGGCCTTGTTCTCTTGCCCCAATAAACGGACTAATCAAAACAGCGATGCTGTGAGATGCCAGTGGCGGCAGGGAGAGGGGTGGTGCTGGCGTATGGGCCCGAGGCACAGGGCCCACAGCAAGGCAGCCTCAGCCATGGCCCCATCACACTGCCTACAAAGACCCCTCCTCAGCCATCCCGAGAAGCCACTGGATGGTCGGAACCCAACAGCCACCCCAGGGCGAGGCAGAGGCACAGGATTCTAAACACCATCAGAGGTTCTGGAAGCCAGGGAGGCAGCGGGGCAGGTGAGGGAGTCACGTGGCTGGCCCTGATGCCCTGTCCCCGCCACAGGGGACCCTGAGCCCCCTAGCACCCTGGCACTGCCGTGGGCATTTTTCATCTATGACACTTTCGGGGGCAGGAGAAGGAACCCAGGCTCCGAGGGGCACCGTGGCTTGCCCGAGATGGGTAGGACCCCGGGCAGCCACAACAAGGCCCAAGCTCTTGCCAAGCCCCCATCCTGGCTCTCGGAAGGTCAAAAGGGGGACCTGCAAGTTGGGTGGGGCTGGGCCCACCCTAGGGTTCACTGGCTAGGGGTGGGGGGCTGCACAGCGCTTCCAGATTGTGGGAACAGAGCTGCCTGGGTCAGGCTGGCCTGGGATACCCAGGGGGGGCTGAGACCCCAAGAGGGAAAGCTGGTGCTGGCTGCAGGCCTGCGAGGAGGAGGAACGGACCCTGCAGGTCTCCGGGCTGACCGTTCCCATTCACAGACCAGGACACTGAAGCCACGTGGTTAACGGGTGACCGTCCAGGAAGTCCCTTGGCACTGGCGAACAGCCCCAGTGGCCACCGGCCTGTGCCCTGGGAGGAGCGGGCAGGGACACTTCTTGGGAAGTGTGCAGGAGGCAGCTCCCCTCTGCCCTGCGGGCCGAGCTGGGCTCTGCCCAGGAGAAGCCCGCAGGAGGCCGAAGCCTAGAACAGGAGAACCTTCTCGCACACAGAATACCTGCTTCCGTCTCGTAGCACACGCGGCCAGGCACTGAGGGGACCTGTTTAAAACCTGCTTGTCCCCAACGCTCCCGGGGGACAGGTCCCAAAGTCCTGATGGACAGCGGCAGCCCCCCAGGGCCCTGGCCACATCTGCACAGCTGCTTCTCCAAGGAGACAGAGACCACCAGCGGGTGGCCGGGCTGCGGGGGCTGCGGGGGCTGCAGGGGCGGGGGCACAAGGAGAGGGCAGGCCTGACCTGGACTGCACAGGGCGGGGCGGGGGGAGGCACAGGCCTGCGGCAGCTCATGGTTGAGACCAGTCCAGCATGGGAGGGGCAGGGACTCACCTCGGTCAGGACGGATGACGACTCCGGCTTGGACACGTTGTGGCTGTTGAAGAAGATGGACTCACGGTCTGCGAAAAGAACGGACAGGAACCTCAGCGAGAACCTCAAGGCAGGGACTCGTCCACCAGCTGCCACCAGGGGGCAGCACTTCCCAGTCATGGGGACCTCGGGCTCTTGAGTCCAGCAGGAGTGCTGGGGCACCCTGCAACCCAGGGAGATGCTACGGCACAGGCAGACTGCGCCTGGCCAGGGACCCCCTGCCCGCAGCTCCCACAGGGAAATGGCCCATTGGGCGAGCTGCCTCGGCTCCCTCCCCTGGTCCCTGAGCAATGTCACCCAGGGACCACCACAAAGGGGGCTAAGGGGCTGGGAGACGAAGCGCCCAGATGTCACAGGCCGAGGTCTGGTAAATGCCTGGTATCCCGGTGCCCCCAGCGCTCTCCTGGGAACACGCTGGGCTACGGTGCCCACCCGTGCTGAGACAGAGGGCCAGGCTGTTCCCCAACTATTTCAGGACACAGGCGGCCACAGGGTCCATCCGTGAAGCACACAGAATGATTTCTGCCTCCCCTGAAGCCCCTCCACGCCCTCCCCCTCGTGCTCCCACTCCGCGCCTGCCTGGACCCTACAGCCTCTCCCCCAGTCCCACTAAGGCACCCAGAAAGACAGAGCACCGCCAAGAACAGACAGTGATATGCAGATGGGCACTCATCCTCCCTCAAGGAGACATGGCCTTGGGGAGCGAGCCACGGTCAGCCTGGGGAGGCATGAGGGTGGTGGGCCCACCGGAGCCGTGTCCTGCAGCAAGGGGCACAGAGCCCTGAGCCCTGGGGCTGAGCTCGGGTAAAGGCTGCCATCCCCCCACGAACAGCACAGGACCCCCAGGCCGGGAGCCCCCATGTGGCCCCACAGCCCGTCGGGGCCCTTGCAGGGTGGGGCCTGGTGGTTCCTGTCCTCCTGGACACCAGCCCATCCCCGGGATCCAGGTCCCCGAGCACAAGGGCGAGGAGGCACTGGCTGAGGGCAGCCCGGCGGGCGCCCACTCTGGCTGCCAGCGGCCCCAGCGGTGCCACGACAATCATGCACGAGGAAGTGACTTGGGCGGAGGCCAAGCAGGGCGGCGTGGACATGTACCTGGCATGCTTCCCGCTAGCGGGCCACAGAGGCCCCCGGCCGCCCCGGTGTGCCCGACAGGCCTCCCGCCGCTCCGACCAGAGCCAGTCCAGACGGGGGGCACGAGAGACGGTCCTGGGGAGGAGCCTGGGGAAAACAGATACCTGCAGGACTTGTACGAGTGCTCGCACTCCCAGGCGCCAGCCGCTGAGACGGTGGCCTTGGCGTGGGGGTGGGGGTGGGGCGGTGGCAAGGCGCCACGGGCCAGAGCGGGTGGGGCCTTCCGTGGACACTGCCCACCTTCTCATCCCGACACCCAGGCTGGCCCAGGCCCCTCAGGCTCGGGGCACCTTTGCACCCACGCCCCTGCCAGTGCCCAGGGGAAGTGGCCAGAGTGGCAGAGCGGAGCCGGGGTGGGGGGGGCGAGCAAGGCTGGGCCGTGGGGGGCTGGTCAGGCCCGCTGAGCCTCTCAGGGCTCTCCTCCCCTGCCCTGAAACCCCTCCATGGCCTCCCCCTCGTGCACCCCCTCCACACCTGCCTGGGCCATACAGCCCCCCCAGTCCCACTGAAAGGCACCCAGAAAGACAGAGCACCCCCAAGAACAGACAGTGATATGCAGATGGGCACTCATCCACCCTCAAGGAGACGACCTCCCCTGCCTGCTGCTGCTGGGGGGAACCTGGGCCAGGCGGCTGCACAGAGGGCGGCCGGGGAGCCCCATGTGTGGCCTAGGCAGCAGTCAGAGTGAGAAGGGGCAGCTCCCCAGCCACTGCCTGCCGCCCGGGAGCTGAGAATGGGCCAGTGCCCCGGGAGAGAGCCTTGGAGCCCAGTTCCTTAAGATGCCCAGGCCCCGGAAACCAGAGGCAGCAGACAGGGCGTGGCCTCCGGGGCTGGGTGGTGAGGCCCCTGTTCCCAGGAGCGCCCTGGATCTGGGGGCCTCTCGTCTACACTCTGCTCCCGGGCTGGTCCCGAGCAACACACAACCACCACCAGCCGGCAGGGCAGGGGGGAGAGGGAAGGGAATGCTGGGTGTGTGTGTTTGAAATGGACAGAGGAGGGAGACGAGTGGAAAAGAAGAGCAAAGGGGCAGGTGCTGTGGCTCGGCAGCCCGAGCCGCCGCCTACAACGCCGGCAGTGCCGGAGCACCGGTGTGAGTCCCGGCTGCTCCGCTTCTAATCCAGCTCCCCGCTAACGTGCCCGGGGAAGGCAGCAGACGATGGTTCAAATATCTGGGCTTCGGTCACCAAGTGGGAGACCAGGAGGGAGTTCTTGGTTTCTGGCTTTGGCCTGGCCCAGCTCTGACTGTTGTGGTCATTTGGGAAGTGAAATAGCGGATGGAAGATTCTCTGTTGCTCTGCCTTTCAAATAAATAATTTAATTAAGGGGAAAAAAGAAGAATAAATGACAAGATCAGCCCAAAATGTCCCAAAATGCATCCCCGAGCTGTGGCCACACGTCTCAGGGAAGTGCACGTCACAAGGCTATGGGTGGGGACCAAGCCTTCCGGTGGCCACACAAATGTCACTTCTGCAGAGGGGCCACCTGTGGCTGCTGCTCCCGATGGCACCCCTCCCCCCGTGACGTCACGGGACCGGTGCTCCCTTCCCCGGGACCCCTTGTCTCTGCTGACGGTGGACGCGCTGACTTCTTCCCGTGTCCTGTCTTTCCCACTGGATCAGACACTGCTGAGGCGGGGCGCTGCCTGCCAGCTGGCACGGGCAGCTTTAGTATCGCACCATTCCTTGCACTGTTAAGCTTTAAAGCAGTGACCAGCCGATGACTAAAGTTTTACTGGAACACAGCCTCACCCATTCGTTCACGCAGCATCTACAGCCGCTGTGATGCTCCCACCACAGCTCAAATAACTGCGACAGGGCCGCAGGTGTTTAATGTCTGGCCTTTTGCAGAAGCCTGCAAAGCCCGGCTCCACGTGTCAGACGTACGTCACTTTTATGCACACCCCAGGGGAAAAGGCTCAGGTTGGAAAGCACGGCAGAGGCCCTAGCAGGAAGCTGGGAGCCCAAGGCGCTGTGTGCTCGGGGCCAAGAGGCCTGCCCATTTCTTCCCCGGCCCTGGGTCGGGAGGGCAACAAGCGCCCCAGAATGTGAGCCCTGGACGCCTGCTACAAACGCATTCCCCCTGGAGGCCAGCACAAGCCAGTGTCAAGTCTCTCAGTAAGAACCTGACGTCAGCCCCAGGCATCCGTTAGATGCCACTGACTATAAAAAGTCACACACGTGGGGCGAGTGCTTGGAGCAGCAGGTGACACGCTGCTTAGGACGCCCACATCCCATCCTGGAGAGCTCAGGTGTGGGCCCCGGCTCTGCCGCTTCTGATTCCAGTGCCCTGCTAATGCGCACCGTGGGAGGCAGCAGGCCATGGCTCGAGTACTTGGGTCCCCGCCACCCACCTGGGAGACCCAGGAGGAGATCCAGGCTACTGGTTTCTGTCTGGCCTGGCACTGGCTGTTGCAGGCATCTGGAGAGTGAACCAGCCTACGGGAGCTGTCTCTCTGCCTCTCGAGTAAATACAGAATTTTACAAGGAGGGGAGAAAGAAGGCAGTTGTGGAACGAAGACGTGTGTTCTTGTCTCCATTCCAGGACCAGAAAATTCCCAAGTAAGGAGCCCTCCCTTGCTTGCATGGGCGTGGGAACCACAGCACTGGCTGGCCCGAACCCGTCCAGCTCGAAGGGTCGCTGTCGCCCTGTGCTCCTCGCCCAGGAAGAGAACACGGAGTTAAAAGCATGGGCTGCACGCCACTGCCCTGGCGCCGTGCCCCGGAGGCAGTGGGCACAGAACCAGACCGACACCCGAGCAGCTCGGCCTGCGTGGGCATCACGGGCGTCTCTCTGCTTAGCTCCGGGCAGCTCTCGGCGATTCAGCACCGGGCTGTGCTTTGTGCTGAACAGGCCGCAAGAGGAGCCGCGAGGACAAGGTGCCCTCACTCCATCAGACGAGGGGCAAACAGCCTGCAAGTGGCTCCCGGTGCAGCAATGGAAGCTGGTGCAGGGTATTTGCACCCAGGGAGAAAAAAAAAAAACAACAACTCACACTTTTGTATGCATAGAAACTTTGAGAACTGGTGGTAAACTGCTCTTAGAGATGGAATCGTTTGGATAAAAGAAGAAAAAAGAAAAGTGTTGGTGTAAGACAGAGTGGCTCTTAGTTTAACCCATTTCCCGTAGAGTTAAAGTAAGTATTTAAGACACGTCAAGGGGATGAGCAGTCGGTGCAGTGGTTAAGATGCTGCCTGGGACGCCTGCATCCCCGGGTTCAAGTCCTGGCTCTGGCTCCAGATTCCAGCTTCCTGCTAACGCGCACCCTGGGAGGCAGACGGTGACGGCACAAGCGGTTGGGCCCCTGCCACCCACGTGGGCAACCTGGATGGAGTTCCTGGCCCCTGGGCATCTGGGGAGTGAACCAGAGACTAGGTTGGATGTCTGCCCCTCTCTGCCTTCAAATAAACACTTTTTTTTAATCAAGAAAATAATAAGAGAGTTAAAAAAAAAAAAAGTCAAGCTCTCTGATCCACACTTGGGATAACATCTCTTGGTGGTACCCAGGCACCCATGGAGCCCTCCTGACCTGGCTTCTCCACTTGAGAACACCCCGGCACGCCCGTGGTGGGGAACACGGTGAGCACTGTGGATGCAGCCCAGTGTGGGCAGCCTGGCCTCAGAGGGGAAGAGCAGAGTCCCCAGGGCCCGGACAGCTGAGCTCCTGCACGGGGGCTGCTTGGCCAGCCAGGGACTGGGGGCGCTCACAGGCAGTCCTGTTTGCTGGGGTGGGGAATGAGAGACCCGCGCACACAGCGGCACTCAATGAGTTTGGACAAATCAGTCCACGGCAACCAGGGTCCTCCAGAGCCCTCGGGAGAGCTGTGCTGGCCCCGCACGCACGGCCACTGTACCGGAGGCTCCTGCAGCCTGCCCCAAAGACTCAGAAGCCCTAGACCATTCCTTCGGGCAGCCCCCAGGCCAGGAGGTTTGAGTGCCGTGTGGGTTTTAGAGTGGCCGAGGACGGTGCAGCGTCAGGCCGGAAGCAGGTGAGGGAGGAGCCCTTCCGGGGGCCCGTGGACTGCTCCCCTCGGGTCCACTTCCAGCCCCCGGACTGCAGGTGCACTGTAAGTACCACCACCGTGAAGTCCTGCGGGATGCTCGGGACCACCATCCGCGGATGGGCGCTGTGACCCAGAGGCTGGAGACCCCTGGCGGCGCATGGATGCCGCTCCGTGTCTGCGGGGGTGGCAGCTGCCTGGGCTCAGCCTCCCCGTCGGGAAGTCAGACTGGAGAGGGAACGGCGGGATGGAGCCATCAGCACGGGGGCCTGCCTCAGTCCCTGCCCACCGAGGGACCACTCAACAGCGGGCCACACCTCCTCCCATGTGGCCCTCTGGGGCCCTCACTCTTGAAAGCCCCAGGTGTCCAGGGGCTTCCTGGCGTTGGGGGTGAGCAGAAGCGCCCCTGACGGCCTGGTCCCCCGAGACCCCTCCACCTACTCACCGTCGCTGCTCGCGCAGCCCTTGGCGACCCCCACGCCCCAGCACGCCCCGAGTCAGGTGCGGCCTCTGCCGGTGTGCAGGGCCTTACCGGATGTGCCTGCGGAGAAGTTCTTGAGTGACGGCCTCTCGACCACGGTGTAGGACTCGCCGACCACGAACACCTTGTACAGCACGGCGTTGTGGTTGATGAAGTTCTGCACCACACAGGGCGGCTGGATGGCATTCAAGCCCTCCTGGTTGAACACGATGGCCATCTGTGGGGACAGGGGGCCCAGGGTTCCGTCACCCCTCACCCCCGAACCCAGCCTGCAGCCCAGGGCCACTTCCCCTGTCCGTGGGCCATGAGGACCCCCGGGGAGCCTCGAGCCAGGGAGTGCAGCGGGACTCCACAGGACACCAGGGCCTCAGTTCTGCCCTGAGGGGTTGGGAATCCTGCCTCTGCCGGGCCTGCCACGTTGGGCTGAGCAGGCTGTCCCAGGGCCCTCTCCACTCTGCAGTCCCAGGGAACAGCACCCGGGATGCGTGCCCCTCAACCCCTGGTGCGTCCTAGAGGCTCCCCGACAAAGACCAGGGGTGGGAGCAGGACACAGAAGCCCTGGCGCAGGGCTGGGAGGCCCTGGGCAGAGCCTCTGCTGACAAAGGCCACCCTGGCGAGCACTCAGCTGAGCCGAGCCCCAGGGGAAGCACGTTCCGGGAGTTAGTGGGTACCTTCCTCATGGCGCACACCTGGGGCATGCATGCTGCCTCCCCTACTCACAGACCAGGGAACTGAGGCCCTGGGCCGTCCGGTGACCTGTTCCCAGGATGTACTCGGTGTGTGCCCAGCACCTAGGCCTCTTGGGCAGCGAGCCTCATGGACATGGCCAACAGGCTCCGTCTTTGCGTCCCAGTCCCTGGCTCCTCTGGTGCCCACCAGGGGTTTGGGTAGGGGGCTGAGACAAGGAAGGCAGAGGGACAGTTGTGGAAACCCTCCCTGCTTTGGCTGAGGCTGGGTGTGCCCAAGGCCAGGCCCAAGGCTGGGGGCACAGAAGGGCTGACCCACGGCCCAGTGGAGCTAGCCTGGCTGATTCCTCAGCCCGGGGCTGCTGCACGGGGTGACGGGGCCTGGCCAGCTGGCCGCCTGCACCCGCTGTCAGAGCGCCACCCCGACTGTGCCTGCCTGGCACCCTGCTGTGCAGCACCCAAGTATAAACACAGGCCACGCGAAAGGACAGCAAGTGCCTGTGTGTGCTTGGCCGGGCCGGGTCTTCCCGGCCTCTGACAAGGACCTTGAAAGCCCCATGGAGCACGGGCGAGGCCCCGGGCGGCTCTGGCGTCCCACGGGGTTCACGTCTCCAACGCCGCACCTGCTGCCCAAGCAAGTGACAACAGCCAGCGTGGGGTGGCTTTGCGGGGGCTTCAGGCAGCCCAGTGAGAGCCAGAGAGACTTCCCCTGGGGAGCAGGCCAGCGCGGCTCCACGGGCTGAGAAACCATGGAGAAGACCTGGGTTGGGGTGGGTGGGGGGCCTGTGGGCGTGAAATGACAGCAGAGACCCCGGCAGGGCTTGGGCAGGTGGGCACGCAGCGAGGCCCGGACAGAAAGTCCGACTTCCTGTGGAAAGCCAGCCCCGTGCAGGGGGTTCTCTTGTGTCCTGGGAGCACTCAGCATCCCAGGGCACCCCGACACACAGGAGGCGCTCCCCCACCCCACTCTGGGCCCAGGGAGGAGGGCAGCCACAGCAGAGGAGGGGTCTCCACACACGCGCGGCCGGCTGTGGCTGGGACAGCAGCCAGTGTCTGGGTGAGGGAGGGTGCACCTTCGTACAGGCCATGAGGGCTGTGAGGGCCTCCCCCAAGGGCACGGACCCACCCCTGGGGGCCGAGCCCCTCATGACCATCAGGCACACACCTCCACCCAGAACGCCTATCAACCTGCCATCACCTAGCCTGCCCCAGGAGCTGGTTCCTGGGCAATTATCAGACAAGCCCCTTGGTCAGGCCCAGGGAGAGCCCCGCAGGACCCCTGCAGATGGTCTCAGTTACAAGGACAGACACGGTGGGAGGCCTGGAGGTGACGATGCAGGAGTCCCAGGTGTGTGTGTGAACATCCCCCCCCCCCCCACCTAGGCCAGCCCAGTCACAGAGAAGACCCCCACACCTCCTCTCCCAAACAGCCGGGGAGCCGACCAGCACAGCCACCATCGGGGGTGGCCGGGGTGGGGCCAGACGGCGGGCAGGCCGGCGCTGGTGGCGACAAGGGGGCCAGGCGCTACCCTAGAGCCTTCCTGGTCCCTGCCCTGGCCGTGGAGCACACACCAGCCCCGCCGTCCCCGAGGGCTCCCTGATCCTAGGAGACGTGGATCTGGGCAGTGGGCCAGGTACGAGCAGCTGTTCCCGCTCCCCCGCCCCGTGTCTTCCCAGGGTTGGGGCAGCCCCGTCAGGGCGCGCCCACCAGGACGGCGACCGTAAGGAACACGACAGAAATCCACAGGTCACCGCTGTCAGGTCTCGCATTTGCACTCCTGTGCCGGTGGGCAGTGTTCCCGGCAGTCGGGCTGTCCAGGGCCGGGGCCCAGTCGGGGCACCCTGGCGTGCACCCCCAGGGCCTGGAGACAACACCCAGGGTGGTTCCTGAGGATTAGGAGCCCCGCATGGCTATGCACCCCCTTCCTTCCTCCACCGCCTCTTCCCGGCAGGACTCACAGCTCAGCCTCCGGTCCCCGGCACCCGAGGGGGGCCTGCTCCTTGGCAGAGTGAACCACGGATCACAGCAGCCGGTGCGATTCCTCTGCCTCCCCAGCCCCTGTCTGAGTCGGGGAGAACCCTCCCTGGGGCCTGCAGAGTGGCCGTCAGGATGGGACCAGCGTCCGCTGCTGCTACTCCCCCTCCTATGGGGCACACACGGGGCTGCAGCGAGCAGGGAGCCGTCCGTGGGGCAGGAAGGGTGCCCTCGCTAGAAACCCACCCTGCTGGCTCCCTGGCCGGGGCCTTGAGCCTCCAGAAACGTGGAACCAGCAGGGTCTGGGCATTGAGCCCCCTGCTCTGTGCGGCTGGGTTGGGGCCGCCATGCTGACAAAGGCCAGCGCAGCCTTGTGGCTGTGGGGATGGGGCAGGCAGCGCTGAGCTGAGGCTGGAGACGGCACACAAAGCCACAGTGTTTCTTCTGCTCCCTCCTGTGACGTCCAGGGAGGCAGAGGGGAGGGAGGCAGCCAGGGTTCCGGGGGGACAGGGACAGCCCGAGGTTCTGCTCACCTCGTGAGAGTTGGTGCCATGAGCCACTCTGGTTTTGCAAACTGTGGGCGGAGAGAAAAGCGGAGAGCAGTTAGCAAGTCCGCCCCTCCTGGCAGGCACTCGGGCCGGCCGCGTAGGGAGGGCAGGCAGGGGCGGCCCACGCCACCCAGACCCCGTGTCCAGCTTCTGCACGGCAGGTGCAGGCCCTACCCCTGGTACGTACTGAAGGGGAAGGCCAGGCCGTTTTGCTCCAGCAGCCGCATGGTGTCGTCCCCGCACAGGCTGGTGAGCTCCATGAAGGGTGGTGAGCAGATCCTGCCATCTGCAGAGAGGGCCGTCGGTCAGCACCGTTCCCCGCCAGCGCCCGCCCCGGCCCTGCCCCAGCCACCCCTGTGGGGCAGCCCTCACGGCTCTCAGCCAGCGCCCGCCCCAGCCCTGCCCCGGGCACCCCCATGGGGCAGCTCTCATGGCTCCCCGACCGTGACCATCCCTGCCCCGCCCCGCTGTCCTGTGTACACGCTTTTAGTAGCATCTCTGTCGCTACACAACACACGTGATGTCTGCTGTGAGGAGCACAGCCCGGTGAGAAACACCCCGGGACCGACACCTACCGCTCCCCTGTGGCTGTCACCTTGGGCCTGACTGATTGACTGACAGATCTCCCACACGGGGCACAGGAACCCAGGGACCCAGGCACCTGAGCCGTCCCACTGCCTTCCAGTCCGCAGGAGCAGGAGTGAGGAGCTGCAGTGGGCACTTGAACCCAGGCGCTCCAACGTGGTATACGAGGATCTTTACTTAGCTGCACCCCGAGTTTTAACTGAGCAAACTGGGGCCACTGCTGAACCCAGCGAGGCCTTTCCCACTCTGAGCTCTGCGAGCCTTAATAAATAGAGGACTGGGTGGTGTGGCCGGCTCTCAGCGTGTGCCTAGCGCTGGGCAGGGGCCCACGTCACCCCCACCGTGCAACGCATCCTGTGAGGGGTGCGCTGAGCTCAGAGGGAGGAGAAGCTGTCGGGGGACACCGCTTGCCCCTTGCACGCCTGGCACGGCCCCTCACCCTTCCCCCACAAAACACAAGGGAGGCAATCAGGAGGCGCCCAGGCCACACACTGCCCCCCTGCCCCCCCCAGTTCTGTCTCTCCTGCAGCCATACTCCAGCCCAGGCCCTGATGGCTGAGCCCTCAGTCTCAGACGGGTGCCTGGCCTCTCCCTGTCCAGCACCCAGCCCCCCATTCCAACACTGCTCCGACCACTGCTTCGCTCCTGGGCCAGACCAGACGCGCTGTGTGGTATGAGCTGCCTTTCGAATCTTGCCACTGACTAGTCAACGGCTGCTTCCCCTTCCTGGATAAGACCACAGCCCCCTAGGAAGCGGGACCACCCTGGTGCTTCAGGGCACAGGGGCCAGGATGGGCTGAGTGTGAGTGGAACCAGGTAGAAAGCAAACCACACTCAACGGGCAAGGCGGCACCCCCAGAGCTTCCGGCTCCGCAGCTGGCTTAGCTGCGACCCAGCCTGGCTCAGCTCATAAAAATCAGAGCCAGGAGCCACACAGGGCAGGCGCAGTGTGTTGTCCTCCACCCTCCCCAGGCCAAGTCGGGATCTGGGCACAGATTCTGGGGGTTGCAGAGTTCTCTGGGGGCTCTGGGGGCAGGGGAGGGTCCGGAGCCTGCATTTGCCAAGCCCCTGGCCGATGGTGGTGTGGACCCTCTGCACAGGCGTTCCCTTAATCCCTGCCGGGCTGGGACAGCATCTGAAGGCACAAGACCAGAGCCAGAGGCCCCAAGAGCCAGCTGCTGCCCAAAGCCACACAGCAGAGCCAGGGTGAGGAATAGGACTGCCCCGAAGCCGGGGACGAAAACCCAGAAACTAGAGGCGAGGAAGAGGGGGTGGGCCCATGTGTGCGCCCCACCCAGGCTGGCGAGGGGACCAGGGGAGGTTGGCCGTGCAATAGGCTCACAGCTACCCTGTGGCCTGGCCCTAGCAGGAGCAGCGGGCGGGCTTAAGACAGGTGCTTGCCAGGCCTGGCAGGGGCTGGGCCCCACCCTTGCCCAGTACTCGTGCACGGGGCGATTTGGAGATGCTGGGCCAGAACAGGTGCCTCTCGGCAGAGCTTCCGGGCGCCTCCAGAGCGGATGAATCGGCTTGGCTTTGCGCCTTCCATGCCCACCCCAGCTGCCTCTCTCCACCCGGCCACGAAAACTTTATGTGTCATCTCCACGCACCTCACTCACTGCATGCAACACGCTGCCCCCACAGCTACACAGCAACTCATTAGCCACCCCAGGAGCCCCCCGAGGCTGCACTGCTGTCACCCCCATTTCACAGACGAGGAGACGGGGCACGGGGATGAGGTCCCTGCCTGGAGTCGCAGAGGCAAGGGCGCCCAGCTGGGACCCCGGCTCCCAAGTCCGTGCTACTGACTGTGGCCTCCCCTGTGGAAAGAGGCCCCTGCGTGGGGTCCCCAACAGCACGCCCCGTGGCAAACCCCTTGATACGGCAGCTTCAGCACGGGGCGGTCCATCAAAGCAGTGCCCCGTGGGAGAGGAGGCCCCCGCAGCGGCACTCGCCACGCTTCAGACGCCCACGGTCAGCCACTTTCCAGAAAGGTGCACACGTTCAGAAGTCGCCCGCTGCACGCCCTTCGGAGCAGGGCGCTCCTGCCAGAACCTGCCAGGACACGAATCTGCCCGCTGGTCACCGGGCAGCTGGGCTTGTGCTCAAGTAAATTTGGCCTGACTTAATAACGGCTCCAAAGAACAGGTGTGCAGGTGCTGACAAACTTATTACAAAATATTGGAAGAACGGTCCTGTTTGATTACTAATTATGGTTGTTACTCTCTTACTACGACTAATATGTAAATTAAACTTCATCAGAGCTGTGCACGCACAGGACAAAACCACATCATGTCTGGAGGTCAGCGCCGCCTGTGGCCCCGGGCATCCACGGGGCATCTTGGAACACACTCCCTGCCGATGGCGGGGTGGGTGGGGGATGACGCCTGTGACAGAATAAGGGACAAAGGCCACCAGATCATCTCAATTCATGCACACAAAGATCTGACAAAATCTAATACCGCTGCAGGGTGAAAACATGCAACAGGGGCTGGCACTGTGGCCCAGTGGGTTAAGCTGCCACCTATAGCACCGGCATCCCATAAGGACACTGGTTCAAGTCCCAGCTGCTCCATTTCCGACCCAGCTCCTATTAATGCACCTGGGAAGGCAGTGGAGGATGGCCCGAGTGCCTGGGACCCTGCACCCATGTGGGAGACCCGGATGACGCTCCTGGCTTCAGCCTGGCCCAGCCCCGGCCATTTGGGGAGTGAACCAGCAGGTGGAAGATCTCTCGATCTCTCTCTCTCTCTCTCTCCCCCCACCTCTGTCTCTGTAACTCTGCCTTTCAAATAAATAAATAATCCAAAAATAAAACAAAACACCCACTGCACTACGGCTGGCCCTAACGAAGGCCACCTGCAGCCCCGACTGTCCCACAGCATCAGAGCCCCCGGGCAAAGCCTGGATCTTCTCCCCTGGAGTCAGGAACAAGACAGGAGGCCTGTTCTTGCCACTCCTACCCAACACTGCACTTGGGGGTGTTAGCCATGGCTTTAGGCAAGAAACATGAAATCAGCAGCATCCAGACTGTAAAGAAGGAAGGAAACTATCTGCAGAAATAGGATCTTGTATACAGAAAACCCCAAGGAACCCACCAACAGCAGTCAAAACCTGCCTGAGCTAGCAAATGGGCCCAGCACGGTTGCAGGATTCCAGACCAGCGCACAAAACACAGCTGCGTTTCTATGCCCCAGCAATGAACAATCTCAATGCGAAATTAAGAAAGTAATTCCACTAAACACTTAGGAATGACTTTAACAAGTGCAAGAATGAAACGCTGAAAAGCACATGTTGTGATTGGAAGCACTTAAAGACAGCTACAATAAAAGGAAAGGAACACTATGTTCATGGATAGGGGATTTCACGGTGTTGCTCAAGGGGTCCACAGACTCAAGGCAATGCCAATCCAACCCCAGCTTTCCTTCTGCAGGAACTGGATATGCTGATCCTAAAGCTCTCAGGGAAATACAAGGGACTAAGAATAGCCAGAACACACTGAAAAAGAACAGGGTTGGAGGACTCACATTTGCCAGCTTCAAAACTTACTGGAGGGGCCGGCATTTTTGGTGCACTGGGTTAAGCTGTGGCCTGTGATGCCGGCATCCCACAGGGGCACCGGTTCAAGTCCCAGCTTCTCCACTTCTGATCCAGCTCTCTGCTGATGCACCTGAGAAAGCATCAAATGATGGCCCAAGAACTTGTGTCCTTGCCACCCACTTGGGAGACCCACATAATGTTCCAGGCTTCGGGCTTCAGTCTGGCCCCGCCCCAGCCACTGCAACCATTTGGGGGTGAAGCAGCAGGAAGATCTCTGTCACTCTGCCTTTCTTTTTTTCTTTTTTTTTTTTTTTAAAGATTTATTTATTTGAAAGACAGAATTATAGAGAGGCAGAGGCAGACAGAGAGAAGTCCTCCATCTGCTTGTTCACTCCCCAAATGGCTGCAATGGCCGGAGCTGAGCTGATCTGAAGCCAGGAGCTTCTTCCGGTCTCCCACGCGGGTGCAGGGGCCCAAGGACTTGGGCCATCTTCTGATGCTTTCCCAGGCCACAGCAGAGAGCTGGATCAGAAGTGGATCAGTCGGGACTCAAACCAGCCAGTGGCACACCAGTGCCACAGGTGGAGGCTTAACCCACTACACTGCAGTGCCAGTACCCTCTCTGCCTTTCAAATAAATAAATCTTTAGAACACAGTACGTATTTGTTTTAAAAAAAAAGCTTACTAAAAGGCTACAAGACAAGTTAGCATTGGCCTAAGGACAGACACAGTCACACGGACTCATGGAACAGAACTGAGAGTCCAGAAGTAAACCCATACACCTGTGCTCGACTGATTTTCTACGAGGATGCCAAGATAACCAACGCCAGAAAGAATATTCTCAGCAATGCTCCTGGGAGAACCGATGTCCCCATGCTGAAGAAAGGAGCCGGGTCCCTACCTCACACCGCACACAAAACTAACTCACGATCTAATCGGCAGAGCTGAAACCACCCAACTCTCAGAAGAAAACAGCTGCGAACCTTCCTCACCTGAGAACAGGCGATGACTTCTTAGCTAGGACACCAAAGCACAAGCAACAAAAGAAAAAAATCAATTTAAGTTGGAACCAGCAGTTGGGATGCCCTTCCTGGCTGGCTAGGGAGTCCCAGGGGCACTGCCACCACCTGGGCCCCACACGAGAAACAGCGACAGCCAAGACTC